TTGTGTGTCATTCAGTCAGCTGGACACGTCATGTATGTCATTTGTGTGTCATTCAGCGAGCTGGACACGTCTTGTATGTCATTTGTGTGTCATTCAGTCAGCTGGACACATATCTTGTATGTCATTCAGTCAGCTGGACACATATCTTAAATGTCAATTTTGTATCAGTCAGTCAGCAGAACAAATGACTTGTACATCAATTTTGTGTCAGACATCTGAACAAATGTTTTGTACATCACTTTTGTGTCAGTCAGACATCTGAACAAATGTCTTGTACATCACTTTTGTGTCAGTCAGACATCTGAACAAATGTCTTGCATACCAATTTTGTAAAATAAATAAATTAAAAACTGCTTTAAAAAAAATAATAACTGGAAAACACAATAGACAGATCAGCTTGTGACACTCAGTTTTATTCTGATGTCCTAGGACTTAAACTTCTAATGAACTTTCACTTTAAAGCTTGCCCCCTGTGAATCAACCAGCGGTGCTGAGGTATGCTGTACAATGTGCACTCATTCCAAAAGGGCATGACACCTCACCCGTAAAGCCAGCACCTCTGAGAATCATCTGTATCGAGAATGGTACCAAGTCGATGGTTGTCACCAATCACACAGGCTAATATGTAATTTTAGAGATGCAAAGAAGTTTGCCTGCCTACACCATCTGGCAAGGCACTTGATGATAATGATGACAAATTTTTTGCTGTCAAAATTAATATTTATACATTACAATGACTGTTTTCACCACTCACAAAGTCACATAAATCGGAAAGCTGGCAGTTAGGCTTGCAATGTTATCAGAAAGAATAAGTTTGTGTGCCAGATGTGTACAGTTAAAACAGTGAGCGAGTGACGTTAAACCCCACCTGGAATGCACAACAAGCGAATAACACCCAGTGAAAGTGCCATTAATCGGATGAGAATCCCCCAGGTGCAAGTCCCAGAAACCCCTTTCAACCACTGGGTGATATTAGGGCCCGCAATGGCAGCCGGGGTGGGAGCTTTACAATTACAGAAACATTGGGCTCCATTCAGGGAATAAGTTTTCACAGAACAAACAAAAAACAGAAAAAAAAACCTGACATACAATGACCTTTGGGAGTAGCTGTGGTGTAGTGGCTAGACGCTTGCCTGCGGATCGGAAGGTAGTGGGTTCAGGTCCTGACATTTTTCAAAAATGACCTTGGCTCCCAGGTCGACCCAGCCTTGAGTGGGTCCCAGCTCGACCCAGCCTTCAGTGGGTCCCAGCTTGACACAGCCTTGAGTGGCTCCCAGCTCAACCCAGCCTTGAGTGGGTACCAGGTGGACCCAGCCTTGAGTGGGTACCAGGTCGACCCAGCCTTGAGTGGGTACCAGGTGGACCCAGCCTTGAGTGGGTACCAGGTGGACCCAGCCTTGAGTGGGTACCAGGTGGACCCAGCCTTGAGTGGGTACCAGGTCGACCCAGCCTTGAGTGGGTACCAGGTACAGCCCTGGGGAGCAAAGGCAGCTGGCATGATGCTGACCACATCCCCCACCTAGAGCCGATTGGTCTACAGAATAAAGGTCTAGCCCTATATGCCTGAAGGCGTGGGAAAGGTTCCTTGACTGACTTCCCACAACAAACACCATGTATCTCATCTCACGTCTCAATGGGTAGTCATCATCACCATAAACCACTTCTGCCGTTAAGCATCGGGGGGAGGGAATAATTTGCGATCTAGTGCATCTTGGCTGCCACTGGCTATTGTCATGCCGTGAAGGCGTAGAGTGTCTTTAATGTTGTCAATCCATATTTTCCGCAGCCATCCTCTTGCTCTTGTAGCTGATCTTCTGAGATATAGTGCTTGTGATAGTATTTGAACTTGCTGCATTCTAACGAGATGGTCAAACCACTTGATCTGCTGTTTCTCGATGAATCTAGTACAAGGTGTCGTTCCCACAATTTGCCTGAAAGTTTCATTATAAACACGATCTCAGATGGTTAGGTTGGCTGCTTTTTTCAGGCACATCAACTCGCAGGTGGTGATGATGCATATGCTTTAGATATCCATGTTTGCTAGCTTAATGTTGGATGAATATGCTGTTACAACTGTAAGTGTAGTGGGGCAGGCGTTCTACTAACTTGCATTGTTTTGGTTTTGTTTGCATTGATCTTCATGTTGTATTTACTGCATGCTGAGTTTAACCTGTTAATGTTGTCTTGCAGTCTATCTTTTTCAGGGTAGAACAAGCACTGGTCGTCAGCAAATAGTAGTTCGTTTAATGTGGGTGAATTGATAACTTCTCCTGATGTGTAATGATTATAAAGTTCTATGTTGACTGTATCAGAACTTGCTAATTTAGATATTCTGTTTATATAAATGTTAAATAAAAGTGGGAAGATCACACATCCCTGTCTTACACCTGTGTTGACTGTGAACAATCTGATATGCCTTCTTGTGTTCTTATTGCACTTTGGCTTGTGTGGTACATGGCTATGATGTTCTCTAGTAACCGTCCTTGTACCCCGCAGTTCTGAAGAACAGACCACAGTATGTTTCCACCCACTCTATGAAAAGCCTTTTCCTGATCTACAAACACAATATTCTGTTTGGTATTATACTCAATGCATCTGTGCATCCTTTGCCTTTTCTGAAACCAAATTGATGTGTATCATTCAGAATGTTATGACAGTTGTTTAAATATCTGATTTAGTCACAGAATTAGAAGAATTCTGACAATGCAAACACTCTGTCTACAAGTACTGTGTATCTGGCCCCTGTGAATCAACGGTGTTGTCCATGATTGCCTCCCCTGGATATCATCTATAATACTCTGGGACCAAGCAAGTTAATCATGAGGCCCCTTTTCCACACCCTCAGTTGTACTAGACCTGTCAGTCGACATGTGGTCAATATCATGCTGGCCACCTTTACTTTCCAGGACTTTACCCGGTACCCACTTAACACTGGTTGAGCTGGGAGCCGGCATTTTTCGAAAAGATTGACCAGATTTGGATTTAAACCTGCAACTTTCAGGCACGAAGATGAGCATCTAGCCACTATGCCATGGCAGTTCCTAAGTGACATGACCCATATTTAGTTGCAAACATATTAAAGAGTAGCCATGGTTTATTTCTACTGAAAGTATTTGATTTTGCTGCCTAATGAGAACAGGCTAAAGACTGAAGTGGCCAATTTATGAATGTGGTGAAAGTGTTCAGCTCGTCCTGAAACACTTGAGTGCACAAACAACACCTATGGACAAGGCTAGAAAAGGTACAATCAACTGCTGACTGGAAGTCGAGGTTGGAAAGTTGATGTTCAGAAGATGTGTGTATGATCTGTCTAAATATTGTCAGTAGCACGCTAACTAACAGCATCAATAATAGTTAGCTGTCTTCAGACGACAGTAACTGAAGTTAGGAATAATTAGAGACTACCAGTATACATCAATTACATATTCCAATGGCAGTGTTATGTCATGATTGATAAATACACACAGAAAACAACAGATAAACATATGTCAAATTATACTTTTAGCGTCAGCTGGTGTGTATATCCGTGGTCCTGTCATGAAACCTCTAAATGCCTGTAATTATAATAATACCCAGACGTTTATTTAGGAGTAAAATGAAATATTGAGGTCAGAACTGAAGAGAGATACATAACTATAAAAGAGGTTTATGAAACCAAGTTAATGACTACTATTTGAACATAATGAGTGGTTTGAAAACATTATTTTAAAATAAATTAGAAAAAATTATTATATAATACTGTTCACAGGGATAATCTTTTTTTTGTGTGGTTATTGTTAAAGAGGAATAGAGCAATTAAAGAGTGACATGTTGAAACTACAACTAACCAGGGGGCTTTACTCTAGAAAAAAAAAGGGGCCAGTACTCACCAAGCCTTCATATGGTCACCAGAGGGTAAAAGAAAACAGGGAAGACCAAAAGAAACTCTCCGTAGAACCATCACAAGGGAGAGCTCAACCATAGGTCTCAGTCGCACTCAAGACCTACATCAAGTGGCAAAGAACCGACAGACGTGGAAAGCTATGACCTCTGCCCTATGCGCCATCTTTGGCACAAGAGGAATAACTAACTAACTAACTCACCACAAAGTGTCTATTACAGAAGTGCCTTGAAAAAAAAGAAAAGAAAGGGTGCCAGTACTGTAAAAGAAAAAAACAAGCCTTGTTAATGACTTATAAAGAAAGTTATACATCATCACAGCTGGAGAAACTGTACAACGAGTGGATATATTGGTGATATGCGTGGAGGTGATGACAATGGAAATAATGTTGACTTTGTGGAATTCACAAAATTAAAAAAAAAAATATTTTTATTCAGCAAATATCTCGTTGTATCTGGTGCAAACCAACAGGTGCTTAGTCTCACCCAACAGATATCAATGGATGCGGATTAAAACAAAATTATGCACAAGACCTGAATACTTATTTCTTTAGATAATTGTAAACTATATATACACAATTTGAACACTTGTTACAATTTTCTCTCCAGAAATTATTTCGCGTCAATTCATTGTTTTTACAGCAAAAAATAGTTTTTAAACTGCTTGAGTCATATCCGCCATGTAGCTCTGCGACTTGTTTATCAGGTTTCTATTTCCATGGCGGGTGACCTAGAAAAAGACCGTTTTTGTGGCTTTAAGACAGTGGACTGAGAGTTGCACTGTGGAAGAGACTTAGTCTCTGCTATTCTTATAGTTAGCAGCAGACATCTTGCACCCAACCTCCAATCGTAGACAGCACAATACATTCACTTCGGCCTTATAAGCCATTTTGTTCTGATTATCTTTCTAATCTGACTATTACATTTTGATATAACATTTTAATATCAATTACATATTTTAATATCAATTACATATTTTCAATTAAATTTTAAAAAATACAGTGGGTAGAACACACAAGAGTTACGCAATTGTAGCTTTTTAGAAGCTATCAATCAAATGCCAATAAAAAACTGCTCTGATAAAAAAAAAACAATTCTGCTCAGATAAACCCCAGATATGATCATCTTTTTCCTGTCACAACATCAATGATGTACTGTCTGACACCTTTGTTGGACATGATCGACATGTGCCCAGAGGCGCTTCCGTTGAAGGCTGTATGTATGACAGGATACTTCTGCCTGCCCACCCACCTCAAGCAACCAAGGAGACTGCGAATGTTTACAGTCCCGTCCCCATCTTCATCAATCTCGCTAGGGAAGGTATCCGGAAATTGGCCTTTGCCAAAGATCAACATGCCAGGTGTCGGAACACCTGAGCCATGGATGCAATGGACAGGTACCTGAGGTGGTGTTAGACTGCTCACCAAATTTTCAGTGTCGGCCCGCATGTTATATCCGTCAGTAAAATTCATATCTGCGAAGAATTCCTTGTAGTTTTCAACAGTGTAGTTTTTTTCAAATGTCTTGACTAGAATATCTGAAGGTTTCCAGAACTGGGCACTGGGCATCAAAAAGGCAGTGCTGGGCATAGAGCGCTGCTGAGGGCGAATCTTGTGCGTGTTGACAATGATGACACCAAGATTGTCACCTGTAAGGAGAAATATTAAAACCTCAGATACAATAAACATATTTATGCCTACATTTGTTCTTGCTCAACATTCTGAGCCCTTGAGATTTATTGCTGCAGAAATCACCCGCCTCTGTTCATCTCTGCGACTGGCCTTCTCTTTCCAGTTGGTGACATTTCAAAGTCAACCTCACTATCATCACTCTTTCAAAGAATCCTCCATTAGCTCTTCAGCAGCTTTAGCCAGTTTTCTTGCCATTTTGTTGAAACAAAATGTAAACCAACACAAAACTATAAATATATTTCAGGGTACAAAACACACAGATCACCGCCCATGCTGACACAAGGAACAAGCAACTTAAATGTATGTGACTGTGTATAACCAAAAATGGGTCAATTGGATCCCATTATGGCTAATGTCCTTCCTTATCAGTCTGTCAGGAAAGTCAAAATTCTATTTTTATGTCGATAACAGTGAGGGCACAGAAACGGGAAGACACTCAAAGACATCTATGGACCAACGTCTAAATACTCTATAGCAGGAAAACGGTTCAGGAGTAGAACAAAGCGGGAGGCAGATAGGAACAATTAAAGTTCAGATGTTTAAACAATTGTGTCATGTTCATGCAATAAAATTAGACTTGAAAAACTGAAATTTACCACAACAGTAATCTGTCTAAACTACAACCAGGACAAATGATTCTGTGAAGATGTGGCCATGTTTTACTGAAGTGGCTGTGGATTCCCTGGCAAGTGCACACAGAGACAGACCACCAGAGAGCCTCCAGGCCACTCAAACAGAATGATACACAAACTGTCATGGCACTCACAGATACAGGAGATGTGGAGATGTACAATATAAAATATGGAAGATCTACCCTGTCAGTAAAGTAGCATTTTTCTATGCCTTCACTGCATCATGTTTAATTCCCAATGGTTTGTGATGTCTCATCATGGGAAGAAGGCAAGAGAATTAACTTCACTGCATCATGCTGGTTTGACCCTCATTAGAGCACTGCACAAAACACAAACTCTATAGCTCCATCAATGACACCCCCCCCCCCCCCCCCCCCCCCCCAACAGGTAACAGCTGCACTCATGAATGAAAGTCCAGAGTTGAAGACTGAACCCAAAACCTTCCAAGTATGATGCAAATGACTTCACCACATATGTGTATACATGTGCAGCAACAAAGCAGCAAACAGAAACATGCAGCTATTACACACACACACACACACAAAGACATGATCACTGAGATTACATTACACAGTCACAGACTACCTGAAGACATGAGCCTTAGTGGTTTGACAGCTCCCCCCCAGACACCCGCCAGCGTCACAAACGACTGTATAAACTTGTCCTTCCACGACTGAGGCTGTCGATTCAGAAAGTACAAAAACACGGGGTTCCCCATGCTGTGAGCAACCACAACAATTTTGGTGTTGTTGTTCTTCTGGTAGGTTTCCTCGACCAGCTTCTGCAGGCTGATGAAATAATCGCCCAGCTCATCTGTTTCATGCCAATGACATCAGTGAAATGTGTGTCAGAAAATATTTGGTAATTTTGAAATGGCACACTGAGAAACAGTTTTTGTATTTTCCCCCACAATAAAGGTTTGCTGCAATGAAACCAGAGCTGACTGTGTAAACTAGGTTACTCTTGTACACTGTTATGTCTCAAAGCCATGTGGTAAACATAGCTGACTTAAAAGTAAAAACTACCACTGTCTCAAAGCATGACCATAGCTGATGTGACTCTTGTACCACTGTCTCAAAGCCATGACCATAGCTGATTGTGTAAACTAGGTGACTCTTGTACCACTGTCTCAAAGCCATGACCATAGCTGATTGTGTAAACTACGTGACTCTTGTACCACTGTCTCAAAGCCATGACCATAGCTGATTGTGTAAACTACGTGACTCTTGTACCACTGTCTCAAAGCCATGACCATAGCTGATTGTGTAAACTAGGTGACTCTTGTACCACTGTCTCAAAGCCATGACCATAGCTGATTGTGTAAACTAGGTGACTCTTGTACCACTGTCTCAAAGCCATGACCATAGCTGATTGTGTAAACTACGTGACTCTTGATTGTGTAAACTACGTGACTCTTGTAGGTCTGTCTGAAAGCCATGACCATAGCTGATTGTGTAAACTACGTGACTCTTGTACCACTGTACCACTGTCTCAAAGCCATGACCATAGCTGATTGTGTAAACTACGTGACTCTTGTACCGCTGTCTTAAAGCCATGACCATAGCTGATTGTGTAAACTACGTGACTCTTGTACCACTGTCTCAAAGCCATGACCATAGCTGATTGTGTAAACTACGTGACTCTTGTACCACTGTCTCAAAGCCATGACCATAGCTGATTGTGTAAACTAGGTGACTCTTGTACCACTGTCTCAAAGTCATGACTATGACTGACTGTGTAAACTAGGTGACTTGTACCACTGTCTCAAAGCCATGACCATAGCTGATTGTGTAAACTAGGTGACTCTTGTACCACTGTCTCAAAGCCATGACTATAGCTGACTGTGTAAACTAGGTGACTCTTGTACCACTGTCTCAAAGCCATGACTATAGCTGATTGTGTAAACTACGTGACTCTTGTACCACTGTCTCAAAGCCATGACCATAGCTGACTGTGTAAACTACGTGACTCTTGTACCACTGTCTCAAAGCCATGAGAATGGTCACTTTCAGAACTACCCACCACAGGAATCGAACCTTGGTAACCACTGAGGATTGCAGTGTGAAATGATTTCACTCACCTCTAAGCCAGAGGTCTCATAAATGGTGAAAAGCCATTAGCTGATAAATATCTGCTTTGACAGAAAGAGTATGCACAAATAGCCAATAGATTTAAGACCTCCGACCCTGCGCTAGCCTGGACACTGTTCAGCTTTTAAAGCTCATTCAAGTAGATATGTTGTTTGTGTTTTAATTGTTTCGTAATGTTGGGTTGATCTGGTCTCAGTTACCAGACAATTTCATGAGAACTGTTTGGAAAGGGAAGTGGTCACCCAAATGTTGCGGACTAGAATATGTGAGGGCCTAAAGTCAACATTCCAAAACGGCGGCATTTGCTGCAGGACCAGACAGATAATCTGACCCATTTTTGTGAAGGCTGGGTCAACCTCATAGCAGGACTAGTCAAGTCAAGGAAATTTTTCCATGGGTTCAGGCACATGGTGCTAGACCAGGACTAGTCAAGTCAAGGACATTTTTTCATGCGTCCAGGCACATGGTGCTAGACCAGGACTAGTCAAGTCAAGGACATTTTCCCATGGGTTCAGGCACATGGTGCTAGACCTATATTTTATAGACCAAATGCCTTCAACATCATGTCGGCCACCTTTACTTCCTAGGACTTTACTTGGTACCCACTTAAGGCTGGGAACCAAGGTCATTATTTTTAAAGAAAAAAAAGAACATCCAACTGAATGCTGATTTGAACTGACAACCTTTAGGCCCAGGATGAGCCTCTAGCCCAGGGATATTCAACTAAGTTTAATCAGGGGCCACAATTTTTTTAATGGGAAACGTCAAGGACCAGAGATCCGAACCCCAGTGCAGAATGATCATTAATAGTTCAGCTAGCAATGATCCGTGAGCTGCTTGCTAGGCTTCCTCCGGCCACGGGCCGCCAGTTCAATAGCTCAGGTCTAGCCTCTACACCAAGTTGGCTCCCTTGAAAGCAGTGCTGGGTGAACAAAAAAGTAAAAAGAACCATGCTTTTGATGAGAAATGGAACGCACTGTTCTATTTATCAGACCTGACATGAACCAAAACTGTAACAATGGTTAAACTGGAGATGTTATATTATCATGTGAATGATAGTTAACATCTGTATCTTTAACAGGTTCACCTTTAAAGTTGTACACAAAGTGATGAAGATACTCAGTAGTTTTCTGAAATGATACAATTGCTTCAGGGTACCTCTACTGATTTTTCCTTTGAGAAGCTGGCTGTGGCATCTTCTTTTTGTCAAAGACAGCATAGACATGCATCATCAACATTAACACCTCGGTCACACAATCTTGTTAGCGTCACAGATTCAACATTATCCCACAACCTAGTCCGTACAGTGGTGTGTTAGCGTCACAGATTCAACATTATCCCACAACCTAGTCCGTACAGTGGTGTGTTAGCGTCACAGATTCAACATTATCCCACAACCTAGTCCGTACAGTGGTGTGTTAGCATCACAGATTCAACATTATCCCACAACCTAGTCCATACAGTGGTGTGTTAGCATCACAGATTCAACATTATCCCACAACCTAGTCCATACAGTGGTGTGTTAGCATCACAGATTCAACATTATCCCACAACCTAGTCCATACAGTGGTGTGTTAGCGTCACAGATTAAACATTATCCCACAACCTAGTCCGTACAGTGGTGTGTTAGCGTCACAGATTCAACATTATCCCACAACCTAGTCCGTACAGTGGTGTGTTAGCGTCACAGATTCAACATTATCCCACAACCTAGTCCGTACAGTGGTGTGTTAGCGTCACAGATTCAACATTATCCCACAACCTAGTCCGTACAGTGGTGTGTTAGCGTCACAGATTCAACATTATCCCACAACCTAGTCTGTACAATGGTGTGTTAGCGTCACAGATTTAACATTATCCCACAACCTAGTCTGTATAGTGGTGTGTTAGCGTCACAGATTCAACATTATCCCACAACCTAGTCCGTACAGCGTTGTTGATACAAGCTCTGTCCATGCTTCTTCTCATTTACACTGATTGCATGACTTGCCAGCTGATCAGCTCTTTCGTTACCATTTACTCCTGTTTGCCCATTATCTAGATCTAGATGACGGAGGTTAATGACTTTCAAATGCTTTCTACCCATTCGGAGGGTACGCTACATGTAGCGATTTTATGAAGCATGCTCAGAGAGTCTGAAACAATCACTGTATGCGTAGCCATCTGTTCTGCTACCCACGCAAGTGCTCTGAAAGCAGCAGTAATCTCCATGGTCAGGCTTGACGCAGCTGTGTATGCCCATGCTGACCTTGACCTGCACTCCAAGGACCCATCTGTGTGAATAACGACGACTTCTGGGTGTGCCAGAAATGACCACAAAGTGTCTAAAAATGTTCAGGTACTAAAGACAAAAGTTTCTATTACTGCAGCCCTGACAAAAATGATGCCTTAAAAAAAAGGTGTTGGGATTGTGTTCTGTTGCATACAACAAGAAAAAAGCGCTGGTTCCATGTGCGACTTTGCAATTTCATGTGATCAATGCGACTTAGCAATTTCATGTGATCAATACTTCACATGTGGATCTATGAGCTTGGTTATCAATTATCACAAAAAGAAATCAAACGTACTTGGTGCTTTTCTGAAATCAAATGGTGCTCCCCTCACTGACAGGCCTCGAGCGTAACCAATGGAAACCAAATCACTGACAATGTAGTAGAAATATGACACTGAAAGAAAAACAGCCACAGTCAGTTTTCAGCTAGAGACACACAAAAAACACAATGTACTTTTTGATGATATATTTGGAGCCTCCGACACAGCATCTTCACCTTGTTCTTCTGCCTTTCACTCACATAGAACCGACTTTTCTGATGATCTCTTATTCTCAAAGTTGAAGTTGACGTTTGTTTCACTGCCCTGTGTTTTGTCTAGTTTGGCCCAGTCTTTCCACAGAGCAGTTAGCACAAAGTCTAGTTTCAGGGATGATCCCCAGGGAACTCCATAAAACTGCACTCAAGAAATTAACAATGCATCCGTGAAACAAACCTTTGACCTTTCAGAACATGACTTGACTGATTCACCATGAAACCATCTGCTCCTATTCTAAGTCACCTTTTACAGCTTCCCTACTACACACCTATTTTGATTGTTTATACATTTTTTAACTTGTGCTAATTATTAAGTATTATCTAACCCTTCCAGCCAGCAAAATGCTGACCACACACTCCAGCAAGTGCTGATAGTTTCTACAAATATGATTCTGGCATCATATGCTGACAGGCATACACACTTAATGGCGTCTTGGTAACCACATGTATATGTGGACAACAAGTCTGGTTTATGGGGTCTGGGTAACCAGCGGTATAAGTGGACAAGTCTGGTTTATGGGGTCTGGGTAACCAGCAGTGTAAGTAGACAAGTCTGGTTTATGGGGTCTGGGTAACCAGCGGTGTAAGTGGACAAGTATGCTAATAAGCAGAGTTATCATTTGACCTGATAATCAGAAATGGCTACCAAACATACTACCTGGGGGGTGCACAAGTGCTTGCGTGCGTGTAAGTTAAGTGAAAACTCCCACAAGCTCTTTCCCCATTTTTCATGCAACAAAGCAGATACAAGACTGCACTATCATGTAATTCACCCCATCTTTTCTTCAGGCTGTTTTCTCTGTCGTTTGATTCATTATTAGGTTTTACCCAAGTTAATTTGTCTTATTTTTACTTCCTCCTGGCTTTCCCATCTTGTTTGCTTTTCCCATCCTGCATTTCTCATGTCAGTCCTGTTTCTTTTCCAAACTGATTTGATTTCCTTGTCTAGCACTGCTCAGTCATCTAGGTTAAGTGCATAATGCAGAAATTTGTACGTGTGCATCAGGTGCATTCAAGAATTATTGATGTCTTGTTTTTTCAATGTATGCTTTACTTCTTCTTCTTGTCGTTCACCAGATGTAAACTCCAACTTGAAATTCTCGTTCGTCCACTTTTGGATTTTGGTCCTTGCAGAAACTTCAGTTTTGCTTGCACATCTGTTTTCCAGATCTGAATTATTTTAATGCAGACTGATAGTTCCTCACCTCTCAGGCAGATGCACTCTGTCTTTAAAGCAAACACCCCTAATTAGTCATCTTTTACAACTTTCAGTGACACACCCCCCCCCCCCCCCCCACTTTCTAAATGGGACCCAAGAGCTTAAAAGAGGGATGCTGTTTTATACCTTTTCCCTATCAAGTCTTTGTTTGAATTTCACAAAAATACCACTTCATTTTTAGCAGCTACATCCCGGAGAGCCTAGAAGCTCATCTGCGGCTTGAAGGTCATGGCCTCATATTTGCATCAAGCTGGATTTGTCCATACAATGAATACCAGGTAAAACCCTAGGAAGTAAAAGCAGCTGGTGTGATGCTCATCTTCCATCAAAATTCTGATTGGTCCACAAAATATAGGTCTAGCGCTATCTAGCCAATACACGTAATAGATGCAGAAAAGGATCCTTGACTTTTCCACTTCGTCTGCAGATAAATGCTCAAGCAAAATGCCAGCTATCTATGCTGTCACTATTTTGTCTCTAGGACTCACAGAATTACAGATATAATCATTATAAGACATAAACAGACTTCCAGCATGACTTCAATGTTCAATTCTAATGTTGTTTCAATTTTAACATACGCAAGTGAAAGTTGGAGAATCACTAAAAACATGGAACTAAAGCTTAATGCATTTGAAAACAAATGTCTCAGAAAAGGGATGAAAATAGAATGCAAAGAATTTAAAAGGAGTGAAGAAATGTCTTTGCGACCACTAGTATTAACAGTTATAAGACAGAGCTGTCTCTAAATTGGACATATCCTGAAAAGCCAGCAGAGAATCACCAGGCAGGCAAACAAAACTAAGGTAAGGGTGTCCATAAGGAAACCCTAAGATGAGAGAGGCCATTAATAAGAGAGGCCAAAGCTGCCTGACTGGATTCTATCCATGATCTTGGACTGAATGCACAGGATAGAAGGGAATGGAGGAAAAGACTGCGAGCTCTCTGTGACACATAATGGTACAACAGGAAAATAAACGAATACGTGACTAATGTTGTTGGCATATGATCACCTAAGGAGGAAGAAATATGTGATGTGACTGTAATGTTGTTAGCATACAGTCACCTACAGGAGGAATAAATATGTGATGTGACTGTAATGTTGTTAGCATATGATCACCTACAGGAGGAAGAAATATGTGATGTGACTGTAATGTTGTTAGCATATGATCACCTACAGGAGGAAGAAATATGTGATGTGACTGTAATGTTGTTAGCATACCATCACCTATAGGAGGAAGAAATATGTGACTGTAATGTTGTTAGCATACAATCATCTTCAGGAGGAAGAAATATGTGACTGTAATGTTGTTAGCATACGATCATCTTCAGGAGGAAGAAATATGTGACTGTAATGTTGTTAGCATATGATCACCTACAGGAGGAAGAAATATGTGACTGTAATGTTGTTGGCATATGATCACCTACAGGAGGAAGAAATATGTGACTGTAATGTTGTTGGCATATGATCACCTACAGGAGGAAGAAATATGTGATGTGACTGTAATGTTGTTGGCATATGATCACATACAGGAGGAAGAAATATGTGACTGTAATGTTGTTGGCATATGATCACCTACAGGAGGAAGAAATATGTGATGTGACTGTAATTTTGTTAGCATATGATCACCTACAGGAGGAAGAAATATGTGACTGTAATGTTGTTAGCATACGATCACCTACAGGAGGAAGAAATATGTGACTGTAATGTTGTTAGCATATGATCACCTACAGGAGGAAGAAATATGTGATGTGACTGTAATGTTGTTAGCATACGATCACCTACAGGAGGAAGAAATATGTGACTGTAATGTTGTTAGCATACGATCACCTACAGGAGGAAGAAATATGTGACTGTAATGTTGTTAGCATATGATCACCTACAGGAGGAATAAATATGTGACTGTAATGTTGTTAGCATATGATCACCTACAGGAGGAAGAAATATGTGACTGTAATGTTGTTAGCATATGATCACCTACAGGAGGAAGAAATATGTGACTGTAATGTTGTTAGCATACGATCACCTACAGGAGGAAGAAATATGTGACTGTAATGTTGTTAGCATATGATCACCTACAGGAGGAATAAATATGTGACTGTAATGTTGTTAGCATATGATCACCTACAGGAGGAAGAAATATGTGACTGTAATGTTGTTAGCATATGATCACCTACAGGAGGAAGAAATATGTGACTGTAATGTTGTTAGCATATTATCACCTACAGGAGGAAGAAATATGTGACTGTAATGTTGTTAGCATACGATCACCTACAGGAGGAAGAAATATGTGACTGTAATGTTGTTAGCATACGATCACCTACAGGAGGAAGAAATATGTGATGTGACTGTAATGTTGTTAGCATACGATCACCTACAGGAGGAAGAAATATGTGATGTGACTGTAATGTTGTTGGCATACGATCACCTACAGGAGGAAGAAATATGTGACTGTAATGTTGTTGGCATATGATCACCTACAGGAGGAGGAAAAATGTGACACAGGGTTCGGGTCTAGATACTCCACAGTCTCTGTTCCCCCAAATCCGCTGGCTTTGATATCCACACCAGGAGTGTTGAAAGTTTTTCGGGTCTTCGGATCATACCACAACCTGCAGATAAAAAAGGGGTGTCGAGTGTGGAAGGTTAAATACCTGGCCTGATACCCATGTGACTCAAAGAGTACTGTGGCACCCTGGATGCCATCCAAATAGGACAATCCAAAATACACTGGTCAACCATCTAAACAGTTAAATGTGTAATATGAACCTAGTAGCATATGCCTGACATGCCACTGGCTTGAAAAGGGGGCTTTAATTTAATTTAAGCCCATAGAAAAATTAATGAAAATGAACACAGGAAAGACCAGACATAATACAAATGCCCAATACCATAACAATCTCATGTACATCAAGCATAACATATAGAAGTCTTCTCCTTCGTGTTCATCAGCTGTAAACTCCAGGGGAAACTTCATCCACTTCTAGACTTTAGCTTTGTTCCAGAACTTGAGTTTTGTGTGGGCATCTGCTTTACAGATCTGGTTTATTTGCGCAGGCTGTTGGTTCCTTGACTTTCAGGCAGATGCACTCTGACTTTGGAGGAAACACCCCTCAATAGTTGACTTTTATGGCATGCATGTTAGGCGGCAGTGGGTTCCCCTCCCCTCCAAATGGGACCTCATAATCTAAGTGAGAAAAAAAAGAGGGGGGGGGGGTGGGAGGGGGGGCGGGAGCATGTGCACATGACAAGTAATCCAATAGTGTCTCTCCGTATGTTGTTATCAACATCAAGTTCTAAACTGAATGGCAGATGCCCATGCCGTATATGTCCTTTGTGCCCTCCATGACAGCAATGTCTGACTGCCCTCTGACCTACTCTGTAAAACCATCTAGTATTTTCTCTTCTGCTGACCTCTATCTGTTTGCATTTACCACTTTTAGGACAGCTGCAATGAACTGTGCAGGTCAGGATTTTTAGTTCTGACCCCAAGGAAAAAAGCCTCCCTCCCTTAGGGGAAATCTAATCGGGGTAAAGTTAATGTAAAGAACCTTTTCCACGCCTTTAGGCGTGCTGGGCATACAGGGCTGGACCTATATTTTGTAGACCAATCAGCACTCGGTGGGTAATTTGGTCAACATCATGTTGGTCGCCTTTACCTCCAATGACTCCACCTGTTACCAATTCAAGGCTGGGTCGACCTGTGTTGAACTGGCCTCTTCTGCTTGCAAGCCCAGTACACTAGAACTCAGTCAGCTGTTCATCTCTAACAACCTCAATGTTCCCAGTTTCCACAATATTCTACATGCCTCCACCCCCCCCCCCCCCCAAAATCAATTTAAAAATAAAAAAATTATGGCCATCTTGATAGGGCTAAGCAAATACAATTACAGATTTATTCTGCAGAGATTCACGGATACCCTCTAGAACATTGTCAATCTTTGCTCTCTAATTCCCTTCAATCTTGTCTCTCTAACTCCCTTCAATCTTGGCTCTCTAATTCCCTTCAATCCTGCTCTCTAATTCCCTTCAATCTTGACTACTTCCCTTCAATCTTGGCTCTCTAATTCCCTTCAATCTTGGCTCTCTAATTCCCTTCAATCTTGGCTCTCTAATTCCCTTCAATCTTGGTTCTCTAATTCCCTTCAATCTTGGCTCTCTAATTCCCTTCAATCTTGGCTCTCTAATTCCCTTCAATATGGGTTCTCTAATTCCCTTCAATCTTGGCTCTCTAATTCCCTTCAATCTTGGCTCTCTAATTCCCTTCAATATGGGCTCTCTAATTCCCTTCAATCTGGGCTCTCTAATTCCCTTCAATCTGGGCTCTCTAATTCCCTTCAATCTTAGCTCTCTAATTCCCTTCAATATGGGCTCTCTAATTCCCTTCAATATGGGCTCTCTAATTCCCTTCAATCTTGGCTCTCTAATTCCCTTCAATCTTGGCTCTCTAATTCCCTTCAATCTGGGCTCTCTAATTCCCTTCAATCTGGGCTCTCTAATTCCCTTCAATCTTAGCTCTCTAATTCCCTTCAATATGGGCTCTCTAATTCCCTTCAATATGGGCTCTCTAATTCCCTTCAATCTTGGCTCTCTAATTCCCTTCAATATGGGCTCTCTAATTCCCTTCAATATGGGCTCTCTAATTTCCTTCAATATGGGCTCTCTAATTCCCTTCAATATGGGCTCTCTAATTCCCTTCAATATGGGCTCTCTAATTCCCTTCAATATGGGCTCTCTAATTCCCTTCAATATGGGCTCTCTAATTCCCTTCAATATGGGCTCTCTAATTCCCTTCAATCTTGGCTCTCTAATTCCCTTCAATCTTGGCTCTCTAATTCCCTTCAATATGGGCTCTCTAATTCCCTTCAATATGGGCTCTCTAATTCCCTTCAATATGGGCTCTCTAATTTCCTTCAATATGGGCTCTCTAATTCCCTTCAATATTGGCTCTCTAATTCCCTTCAATCTTGGCTCTCTAATTCCCTTCAATATGGGCTCTCTAATTTCCTGTCAACTGATATTTTACTGACATCTTTTTTAAAATTATTATTATTATTTGTTGCTGCCCAGCAGTTTAATCTTTCTACATTTATATTTCTCTTTTCTTCCGCCTCTCTTATCCCTTACCTTTTCATTGGTCTATTTAAATTTTACTGCTGATCTATCCTGATAAACTCCATTTAACCAATCACCTAAAAAAAAAAGCATAACATATTTTTCTGTGTAAGTTGAGAAGTTTTTTCCAAATTCTGTTAGTTTAAAATTGGGGGTTGTCTTATATACAGAATGTATTTAAAATTTGATGTCTTAACCTAATTAAAAAACAAAGGTTGCACTATACACTGGGGTGTCTCAGACATGGAAAATTACAGTATATAACTTCTTCTTCCTCTCCTCTTTTACATTTTCAGATGTGAGTGGAGACAGAAGTTTCTAATATATATTTTTGTCCTATAAAAAAAGGTAAGTATACCTCATATTATCAACGAAACAATCTAGAACTTCTGGCAACAGCTCCTCTAAGTTGAGCCAGATTGTTTCGTAGTCAGGCGTGGTCTTGCGGCACAGATAATGTGGGCTAGTTGTCTTGTTCAGTTTGGCCACCAGTTGCGATCCTCCATCGCCAGGGACTGTAGGAATTCAATAATTAACTTCCACAAGACCATAACAAATGAGCATGAATAATTTAACTGGTATTAACAAATATTATACCCAGCCGATACGCATAAACAAACATGGCTTGCTATCACCACCTTCTTATGTTTCTGCCCTTAAAAGGGGGCCGCGTTAGCGAAGTCGGTAGGAGTCTCGCTTTCTAATCCACCTGCTACTTGCTGCAGCCATGGTTGGTGTTCGAAACCGGGCGGTTCCTTGGGTTCACACAGCCTCTAAAAAATGAGTACCAGAGTGACACTTTAGGGTAAATGGAGTAATGTCGCTGTAGCTACAGAGTTACATGCAGACTGCGACACAGACGGACAGTTTCTTATCAGCCATCCGTACTGGTGGAAGAGCACTTATGGTTTATAACTGTGTGCAATGACGCTGGTTTACATCTCCCGACTTTACCTTTAAAAGGACAGTTAACTTGCTAGGTTGCAATATGTGCACTTTTTGGTCCAACACATCCGATTTCAGCAAATTACTATCAAGTGACCTCTTAAGTCATGCTACTGGGGGCATTCTGGGGGGGTCAGTGCCGTTTCCGTTGATTTTAACTCGTAGATATGTTTTTACTGACAACAGCCCAGTCCCCTGGGACGTATACTCGTATCAGTCTAGGGTATGATTCTTCACACATATAACAAAAGTATAGGTGAGTAGCAGCTATACACAGTCAGCACAAATAAACTGGTATTAAAAATGTCCATGTAAATAATGTGGCATATGCCATAAATGATGTCTGTTAACTTTGTGCCTGTTTCCAGCAAACAAACATGGCTTGCTATCACAATTTTTTTTTCTTCTTCTTTTGTTTTCGCCTTTAAAATTTGAAATTAACTTAATCTATGCAATATAAAATAGTCAAAATGATGACACGAACCACTTATAACTATTCAACACCTGAGCGCACAAAACTCGTATATATCAATTATCACCCAGAAGGAGAGAGTTGTACTGTAGTGGTGGGTTGACTAGACGCTCTCCTGCGCATCTGAAGGTCGTACGTTTGGCTCCTGACAAAGCCACATTTTATTAAAATATGACCTTGGCTCTAGGGTCAACCCAGCCTTAACAGGGTACGAGGTGAAGTGTCCTGGGAAGTAAACTCGGCGGCCTTGACCACATCATCCCCCGAGTGCCGATTGGTCTATACATGTCTAGTTATGTATACTCAATATGCTTGCAGGCGTGAACAAAGTTTCTTTACTTCACTATAGCCCAAAGAGGTTGAACAGGCACCCGGTTAAATCACGTCGTCTACTGCTAGAGACGGGCCAACTGCGATATATATATACGGGTCTGCACACAAATGCGAACATTCCGTTAAACAGACTACAGCAGAATACACCGTTTAAACAAAATCGGTAACCGATTTAATTCGTTTGTTTCTACTTACTCAAAACAACGGGGTACTTGACGCTGGCTTGTCCCGAATTACAAACAAAACACAAGAGGACAACAAGTAACAGTAACAGCTTGCTAGACGTTTTCAGCTTGACGGTGGCCATTTTGTGAGATCGAACAGAAATGCAAGCAATCAATTGTTATTTGGGAACACCCAGCTCCAGAGCGGGCAATTTATGGACTGCAGCGCGAACAAAATAAACAAGAGTGTGTGTGTGGAGATATCAGGTGGAACGATGCGAGGTGAGGATGTGTCTGTCATGTGATGGGCAGAAAACAGCTGAGTGTCTGTGTGGCGTCGTCTGACCGACCTACAACTGTTGTTTACATAAGTACAGTACGGTGCCACCTCAATTTTCCACCCACTTTAGATTCCCTTCCTATTCTTTAGATTCCCTTCCTATGTCCGCCTGTGTCGCCGTTCGCACGTAACTCTGTAGCTACAGCGACGTTCCTCCATTTACCCCAGAGTGTCAACTTTGGTACTTACTTCCTAGAAGCTGGGTGAACCCCGGGAGCCGCCCGGTTTCGAACACCGACCATGGGCTGCAGCGAGTCGCAGCTGGATTTGAAAGCGAGCTTCATATCGACTGCGCAAACGCGGCCTGTAAGAAGATCCTTACAACTATCTTCCTTAATTCAGAAGATCATCTCCTGTGTTCTCTTTCTAATATGTTGCATAAGTTCATTGTTTTTTTTAAATTTAAATTGTTTACGATGCCGTCCCGTCCTTATTTTGCGCAGTCTTCTCCTTGCTCTGCGTTGACTGTATTTTTTTTTAAGCTATGGATCTACGAGGCAATTGATACCAGGGCATTCTCGTCACATGACCAAACCATTTCATCTGTTGCTTTTTACTGGATTGCAGGACTGCTTTCAGTCCTAGTCTTCTTGTAATTTGCTTTTTGTTGTTATTGTTGTTGTTGATTTGATCTCTTTTCGTAACACATGCGGCTCTTTTAAGACATTTTATTTCTGCTGTTATGATTGTGTCCTTATTCGTTGTAGTTAGGGTTTGTACTTGACCTTAGCATTATAGAGTTGGCGGAAGCATAGTTTTTATTGGCATTTTTAGATTTATAATGAAAGTGCTCCCCTATTGTCGACACAGTTATTGGAAGAACTGGAATGATTTACAGACGCTGAGATAAATGAAGAAAACGAGAGAAGAATCGCCAGATATGGTAAAGAATGAGCATCAGTTGACAAGGCTCTTAGTCGAAGGGGGTAAAACTGTTGGCCAAGCACTGAATGGTGAAAGTCACAGGAGCCGGAACATTTCATCTCCTGACCAGTAGTATACTGGACACATCCGACGAGAAGTGGACATGCAATCACTAGAGAGGGGCTGAGAGAGGGGAAATGAGGCACTGTGAGAAGTGCTGAGAGAGGCGATGAGAGAGGGGCTGAGAGAGGGGATGAGACAGGCACTGAGAGAGGCGATGAGAGAGGTGATGAGAGAGGCGATGAGAGAGTTGATGAGAGAGGTGCTGAGAGAGGCGATGAGAGAGGTGCTGAGGTTGGGGAAATAAGGCACTGAGAGAGGCGCCAAGATCAGGGAAATTAGCACTGAGAGAGGCGCCGAGGTCAGGGAAATTAGGCACTGAGAGAGGCGCCGAGGTCAGGGAAATGAGGCAGTGAGAAAGGTGCTGAGGTCGGGGAAATTAGGCACTGAGAGAGGCGCCAAGGTCGGGGAAATTAGGCACTGAGAGAGGCGCCAAGGTCGGGGAAATGAGGCAGTGAGAGAGGCGCCAAGGTCAGGGAAATGAGGCACTGAGAGAGGCGCTGAGAAAACGCTGAGAGAGGTGCTGAGAGAAGCGATGAGAGGTGCTGAGGTCGAGGAAATGAGGCAGTGAGAGAGGCGCCGAGGTCGGGAAAATGAGGCAGTGAGAAAGGCGCCGAGGTCGGGAAAATGCGGCAGTGAGAAAGGCGCCGAGGTCGGGAAAATGAGGCAGTGAGAAAGGCGCCGAGGTCGGGAAAATGATGCAATGAGAGAGGCGCCGAGGTCGGGAAAATGAGGCACTGAGAGAGGCGCTGAGGTCGGGGAAATGAGGCAGTGAGAGAGGTGCTGAGGTCGGGGAAATGAGGCAGTGAGAGAGGTGCTGAGGTCGGGGAAATGAGGCAGTGAGAGAGGTGCTGAGGTCGGGGAAATGAGGCAGTGAGAGAGGTGCTGAGGTCGGGGAAATGAGGCAGTGAGAGAGGTGAGAGGTCGGTGCTGAGGGTCGGGGAAATGAGGCAGTGAGAGAGGTGCTGAGGTCGGGGAAATGAGGCAGTGAGAGAGGTGCTGAGGTCGGGGAAATGAGGCAGTGAGAGAGGTGCTGAGGTCGGGGAAATGAGGCAGTGAGAGAGGTGCTGAGGTCGGGGAAATGAGGCAGTGAGAGAGGTGCTGAGGTCGGGGAAATGAGGCAGTGAGAGAGGTGCTGAGGTCGGGGAAATGAGGCAGTGAGAGAGGTGCTGAGGTCGGGGAAATGAGGCAGTGAGAGAGGTGCTGAGGTCGGGGAAATGAGGCAGTGAGAGAGGTGCTGAGAGAGGCGCTGAGAAAACGCTGAGAGAGGTGCTGAGAGAAGCGATGAGAGGTGCTGAGAGAGGCGCTGAGAGAAGCGATGAGAGGTACTGAGAAAACGCTGAGAGAGGTGCTGAGAGAAGCGATGAGAGGTGCTGAGAGAGGCGCCGAGGTCGGGAAAATGAGGCAGTGAGAGAGGCGCTGAGGTCGGGAAAATGAGGCAGTGAGATAGGCGCTGAGGTCGGGGAAATGAGGCACTGAGAGAGGCGCCAAGGTCGGGAAAATAAGGCAGTGAGATAGGCGCTTTGAGAGGCGTCGAGGGTGGGAAATAGATGAGAAAACGAGAACATCCAAAAGAAAGCCTAAAGCTACAGATGTTGGAATAGATTCCATCCATAATAACGTCAAGAATAGACACGCAGACTACGAGTTCGATGTGATGTACAAATTGCACAGCAGGACTATGAGGAGGAACAGAACGATGAGGATGAGGTATGATTAGCATAAACAGTAATTTTCGGTAATCCACGGGCATTATCCCTGAAGCTGCGGAGTACGTGCTTTGTGAAATGCTATTTACAGTCAGCCAGCAGCTCTAAAACGAAATGTCGAATCTGATTAGATCCAACCTGATGCAGTAAGTAATACAAACATTAGAACATTAAGATTATTAAGAATGATTCTTGGCATATCATAGAGGGACCCCCCTGTGTGGGTTCCGGGGCCCCATTGTGGGGAAAACAAGAATAGACCCACTGCCTCCCCAAAAGCATGTTGTAAGAGTCGACTAATTGGGAGCTTTCTTCGAAGTCGAAGTGCATCTGCCTGAGAGGCAAGAAACCAAGAGTCTGCATACAGATCTGTCAAACGGACTGGAAATGAAATGGTACGGGCATGTAATAAGATCTAACAACCTCTCAAAAAACAATACTACAGCGCTTAATAGAGCGGAACAGGCAAAGGAGAAGAGGCAGACCGAGAAAGCCATGGATACCTGAATACAGAATTTGACTGACTGGACAGGCTTTTGCCCGCACCTCCAGACAGTTTGTGAGAGGGATTAACCAGCCCTCCTCCAAGAGTGTTCCCAGTGTCCGCCTGGAATGGAATCTCTGACTGATGCATTGTGGAGCCATTACGTTTCTGTTGCTGCAATATGTCGACTCCATTTATTTATTTCTGTAGAGCTGTAAAAATAAACCATTTGATTCCATCCATATAGACAAGCTGCACACAGGCAAATGTCGCCTTGTACGACATGCTTGTTAGATATGCTGTGGGTCTATTCCTTTGCCCCCAAAATGGGGCCCAGAACCCACATGGGAATCACCGAAGTGACCGAGATTTAAAGTCTTGAATGGAATATTCATGCTGTACTTCTCCGCCTTCACCAGACAGAAAGTTCCTGTTGTTCGTCCACTTCTGGACTCTAGTGCTGTTTCACAGGCCTGGTTCATTTGCATGCAGACTGTTGGTTCCTTGTCTCTCAGGCATATGTACTTAGACTTCGAACCTGTACGATTTGAAAAACCGGAAACTGGTGATGACAAGTTTCCATCCTGGTAATAAGGACAAGATGTCAAACAGAACGAAAAGTAGCTAACAAACTCTGTGCATGATCAGGGACCTTCCATGTGTTTAGTGCCTTAGCAGGGAGAAAACTGTGCAATCACTACTGGCTATTGCCTGTACTGGTTTGTGGAAGCGAGGAAAAACTGTGGTCGGCTTTAACCAACCTTCACCTTGGTGCATAAGCTGTTTTGCAATTCTTGCTGCATATTAACTATGCCGTTTCTGGGTGAGGGTGTGCCTGTATGGAAAAGGATAGGGTGCGGGAAAAAAAAGGGGGGGGGGGGGGGAGAGAACATGTGTTACGTAAGGCCCATCAGAAAGTCTAGGATAGTAACTAGTAACAGCTCAAACTATCTAAAAATAATAAGAGATCTTGTGGTTTTGGTACCTTATTGACTGACGACGTTAGCTTTAAAAGTACAACTAATCAGGGACATGTCTGCAAAGAGATTTGATAAGTTAGTTGAGCGATCCCACCTCATTGGAACATAAAAGAGAAGAATGTATTCTGTATTTATAATGTGTATGTATATTCAGATACACTTTACATAAAAGTATCTCACACGAACCTGCATTTGTTAAACACTTATTTTTGTAATCTACTGTTTAGAATAACAAGAAATGAGGGAAAGGGGGAAAGGGGGGGGGGGGACGGGGTACATGATACTGAAGATGTCAGTTGTTTATCTTCCTTTCTCCTTGCCTTGATTTTCACAACGGTATGAGTGTCGACCTCCAGAGCAGAAAACTAGAGAAATGAATAACGCCTGATAAAAGCATAAGCAGCCAACATATTCTGGGATTAACTTGTGAAGTCCTCTAAACGATTAGCACAATAAATAAGATGGCTTGGCAACTCACTTAGAGTGTGTAATTTGGGTCATACCAGATAATATCAGAGAAACTCTATTTGTAAAGTATCTATGGTCGAAGCAGCTAGAAGAGCAAGATGCAGACCCGTATATCTCCCTTGACAACAGAAGCATGAACAGAGGAAGTTACGAACAAGAAGATGAAAAGCTAAGCTTC